AAGACTGGTCAGCACAATTTATGACCCACTCCATCCAAACACAACCCCCTAGCCTGTCGGATTCTTGTGTTTGTAATCACAGGGAGGCAACAAATGCATGAGATCTGAGCCCCTCATAGGCTATCACATCTGGCTTGTGAGGCATGTTTGGCTTGATGAGTTGTAAGTTGTGCATGCCTTCTTTAAATTTATATTCTCTGAAAGATTATTGTTCAAGACTAATTTAAAGCTTTCCAGTGTCAAACCTTGTGACATACCATCAGGGGAGCCAGAAGCAAGACAGTATAATGATGAATACAAATGTGTTAAACATTGAACACAACTAGAATGAGTGATATAGTCTAAGCCAATCTATAGATGATTAGTTAACTTTCTGAGAAATAATGAATACTTAGAGCAGGGGTGTCGAACTCATTTGTTATGAGGGCCAGATCTGACATAAGTGTCACTTTGTCAGGCCAGGTCATCAGGGCCAGCCCAAGGTGTTTCTGCGCCCTAGGCGAGGTGCAGATGCCAACCTCCTGGTGGGGCCTGGAGACCTCCCAGCTGGCCAGCTCCTTGCTCTCCGGAGCCACTGGGCGGGAGACGAGTGGCGAGGTGGCCGGCATAGGGACTCGGGAGAGGTGGGAGCCACCAGGCGGGAGAGGTTGGGGGCTCGCCAGTCTCGCCCCTCCTCTCCCGTCCCGCTTACCTTGGTCCCACCCGAGGCGTCCCTCCCTGTCCGAGAAGCAGCAGCCCAGCAGGCAGGAGGCGCCCGGGAAGGTAGGCTTGAGTGAGCATTCGAAGTGGGAGGGCGACGGACAGGCAGGCGAACAAGCACGCAGCTGGGGCTGGTGGTGGCAGCAGCAGCCTCTGCACCTGCGCAGACCTGCTGCTGGTCGGGGGACCTGGCTTTGAACCCCCATGAAATTTACTGTGTGAGCACTGGGCAGTCAGTCTCCCAACCTAACCTACCGCTCAGCTTTGCTAAAGGGGATCAGAGATTATAATGGGGTGCCTCTGCAACTCTGTGGAAGCCCCCCTCAACTCCTACCACCAGTGTTCCCTGTAAAATGAGTTAGTGTAAGCTAGCTCAGGTTTCTAGCCTCCAGCTCGCACACTTTTGTCTTAGCTCAGGAAGGATGGCTCCAGAGCAAACTAATTTATGCAGTAGCCAAATCGCTCACTCACAACTTCGATGCCAGTAGCTCACAAAGTAGAATTTTTGCTCACTAGACTCCACAGCTTAGAGGGAGCATTGCTTACAGCGTTAGTTTTTTGTAGCATCAACTACAACCAACAGCTTCTGGTCAAATTTGTTTTCACGGCACAATAGTCCTTTAGATTCAGGGGAAAGGTGGCGTCGAAACACAAGAAATGCGATCTCAATACCTGGTCCGCATCAGGTGACTAAAAATGCATGGCAACCACCTCCTCTTAAGTTATGATTGACATCCCTATACGTCCTATTTTTAGCAGTCTCCCTCAGGTCTTGCAAACTGAGGGCCAGCTAGGAAGTTTGCCTAGCAGGTGAGCCAGCCCTGCAGGTCATGTGTGTCATAAAATGTAGCACCAGATACCAGAGATATAAACTTTGCTTTGGAGGGAGAGGAGAAATGATCCTGTTTTCCAGCATCATGATCCAAGCTGGGGCAGCCCAGGCACCTCCACGGCTTCTAATGTGCACAGAGACGCACCAAGGGAAGAACGAGGGCCTCCTGCCCTTGGATTCTGAAGCAGCTCCTCCCAGGTTGTTGGCTCTCGGGTGCCCCTGACTTTGTGGAGGGAAGAAAAGCTAGGGCGAAAAATGCATTTTCTTCTTGCTCAACACAGTTAAGAATACTGGGCTAAGCAAGTAGAGAATGTATATCTGTAAATCCGCCTGCCTTGCAAAAGGCGAGTTCCCCTCTTGCGGAGCAGGAATACCCAGCACTTGCTCTTTTCCGGGGGGGGGCGCCGGCTTCTGACGTGCAAAACGTTAGTTCCCCTCTTGCAGGGCAGGAAAGTTTGGCAGTCGCTCCCCCACCCCCACCTTTAAAGGGAGGGTTCCCTTTAAATGGTTGGGAAAAGGCGGGGACGAGCCGCGTCCGGGACGTGATGGCGTCACTCACGCCCTTTCCCCCGCCTCTCACACAATCTTAAACACTTTGCTGTTTATATCAAGTGTTTGGGTGGCTTTTCATTTTTGCACAGCACAAGAATTACAGACCTGAATAGGCAAACCTGTATACAGCACCTACTGTGCTAAGACAAAAAACTCCTCCATTATTTCAGCATTTGTACCTAGATCTGACAATGTATTCTCAGCAGAGATCTCAAAGCTATCTTCTATATGAAAGTTCAAAGCAGTGAAAACAAAGTGAGAAACTGTAAAGGGGAGCAGTGATCACCTGCCTGCAATCAATGGGTTGCAGTATAAATTTAATGAGGTACAGCTCCTTATGTATTGGTAATAACTTTTACTTGCTGAAACTCCTAACCTGGTATGTACTCAGGAGTACCTACAAACACAGTACCCTGGAACTCATCAACCGTATTAAAGGTGGAGAGATGAAATAGTAACCTTCCCAGTCATTACTACCATTTTCAACATCCCTGCCATTCAAATTGTTTGACTGTACCTGCTGGCACAGAAGAAGGCTGTCACTCACTCCCCATGCTCCCTGATGCAGCATTGCTTATATAAGTGGAATGGGAGGGCGGGAGCTGTTGTAGTGTGCAAGAGACAGCCAGAGAAATTGAACTCCTTATCCTACATTGCTTTGCCAGGCCTTCACAGGTTTCAAAGACATTTGGAGAACTGGGTGGTATAGGAACTGGAGGATGATCTTGTACTTGGGGTGGCCTGGCTTTGAACCCCCATGAAATTTACTGGGTGAGCACTGGGCAGTCAAGTCTCCCAACCTAACCTACCGCTCAGCGTTGCTAAAGGAGATCAGAGATTATAATAGCCTGCCTCTGCAACTCTGTGGAAGCCCCCCCCCCCACTCCTACAGCCAATGTTCCCTGTAAAATGAGTTAGTGTAAACTAGCTCAGGTTTTTAGCCTCCAGCTCGCACACTTTTGTCTTAGCATAGGAAGGATAGCTCCAGAGCAAACTAATTTATGCAGTAGCCAAATCGCTCACTCACAACTTCGATACCAGTAGCTCACAAAGTAGAAGTTTTGCTCACTAGACTCCACAGCTTAGAGGGAGCATTGCTTACAGCGTTAGTTTTTTGTAGCATCAACTACAACCAACAGCTTCTGGTCAAATTTGTTTTCACGGCACAATAGTCCTTTAGATTCAGGGGAAAGGTGGCGTCGAGACACAAGAAATGCGATCTCAATACCTGGTCCGCATCAGGTGACTAAAAATGCGTGGCAACCACGCAACCCTTCTCTTAATTTATGACTGACAGCCCTATACGTCCTATTTTTAGCAGCCTCCCTCAAGTCTTGCAAACTGAGGGCCAGCTAGGAATTCCAGTCCCCAGGTGCGGGCGGGGTTCCCCCAATTTGCCGATGGCTCCTGCCTTGCAAGAGGCCAATTCCCCTCCTGCAGGGCACGAACGCCCGGAGCCCACTCTTTTCAAGCGGAACGCCCGGAGCCCACTCTTTTCAAGCGGGGG